GGGAAATGCTCTTTACACCGGCCGCCGCAGTAATTCTCGGCAAAACGTTACCGAGAGTCAAAACAAACTTGTGTCTGAAATTGAAACTTCCTTAGCGGAGGTTTCAGATTGGGGCCGACTAAATCTAGTACAGTTCAACCCAAAAAAGACACAGGTCTGTGCGTACACAGCAAAGGAAGATACCATTTGTCGCATCACCTCGGTTTGAGAGCTGCTAACTGCCTCAGCTAGCATCGGAATTCTAGGCATTGACATATCGAGCGAAGTCCAGTTTCGGGGTCACTTAGAAGCTCGGTGTGCTAAACAGATAAAGGCAGTATTTCACTCCGGCCCACCGCCTTCAGCTCTATAAGGCGCAAGTCCGGGCCGCATATGGAATACTGTTCTCATCTCTATGCAGGGGCAGCTCAGTACCAGCTTATCCCTGTGGACCGCATCCAACGAAGAGCGACTCGAATCGTCGATAGCCCAAACATCTCCGATCGGCTCGATCCCTTGGCGTTACCTAAAGATGTAGCTTCACTCTGCATTATCTATCGCATATATCATGGAGAGTGCTCCGAGGAATTTTTCGTACTATTATCAGCCGCAACTTTCCGCCATCGTTCCATATTTCAAAATTTTCATCCCCATCACCTGTATAGTTGGCGCTCCACTAATGTGCGCTTTTCGATATACTTTTTACCTAGCACAACTAATCTGTGGAACAGGTTATCGTCTGCGGTATTACCGGACCAATACGACCCTTTTTTCTGAAAACACCTGCACATAAAATAACATTGAAATTAAATTTGCATCTATCCTAGGAAAAGCAATTTCCGATTAATTTTTTACCAAGGAAAAGATTTTCTTCAAATGAACACCAGAAAATAAACAGGCTTCTTTACCCACAATTAAGTTATAAATAAATAAATAAAAAAATAAAAAATAAAACAAGCCTTTTATTTCATGCATTAAATATCCGATATTAACAATATTTTTTTTTTGTTTTTGCATTACACTAGTTACAATGATGAAAACAACATATAGAATTGATTTGTTAGTAGATTAAATTAAAAAATAAATATATATTGCTTGCTCTTATAATAATAATGTTACTTATTAAAGATGCGTAAAATTAAAAAAATAAATTTCCTTGTTTTAATAATTGAAATTGTTTTAAATTAAAGAAAAGTTTCTAATAAAAATATGCATGAACCCCTCAAGTTGTGAGGGTGAAGGCCTCCTCCAGAGAACTCCAGTGGTCACGGTCATTGGCTTCTGTTTGCCAGTCTTTGCCTGCTATTTTTGTGATATCGTCCACCCATCTGGTTGTAGGTCTTCCTCTTTTTCTGGTAAAAGATAATGTATTTACATAGAATGTTGCAATATTGAGTAGGTTATTATCTGTAGGTTCCAACTTATTTGAGGTTTTTGTCTCTGGAGGGTTTCGGTCTTTTCCTCCCACGGTGACCGGCCGGATTGGGAGATGTGTTTTGTGTGTTGTTGTATGATTTGGTGGCATTGTATTCTTTGTTTGTGTTGTTATTATTGTTCTTGATAGTCACGTAGTTTAATATCCCCGGTTTTACAATTTTATCGGGCAGACTCAAAGATTTTTGCTTTGTAAGGGCAGGTACAGTTTTGTTCTTTTTATTTACATGAGGATTTTGCTGGGCAAAATTGTTTGAAGCATTTTCCGGCGAGTTTGGGAGGCTTCTTTTTTTGTTTTTATTATTTTTAGGTGTGTTCTCTAATATGACAAGCTTGTCATATTTAATTATAGCCTTATTACCCTTTTCCCTTTCGACATTCACTCGTTCTTGCAGCTCTTTCCTTATTTGTAGAACAGAGGGGGGGTAGTCCTCTTTTACATAATATGGTGTTTCTTTTAGAACTCCTTTGTTTTTAAGGATACCAATCTTCTTCCCCAGGGTTGCAAAAGTAACTACTACGGGTCGTGGCTTTTCGGTCTTTTTTCCTATTCTTCTTACGACTTCTAGGTCCGTACAATCTATTTTAATCGGGAGAAATTTATTTATAAAATCTGTTATGTTGGTTTCCATACTATGGTATGATTTTTCATCTTCTTGTAGCCCAAAGAATACTAGCTTACGTTGCCTTGCATGTTTCTCTAAGTAGTATATTCTACTTTCTTGGTTTTCCACTCTCAACTTAAGGTTTTCGTGCTGTTCTTCGAGGTTTACAATTTTTTCTTCAATTATTTTGTTAATGTTAATTGTTACCTTGTCTGTCACCTCTTCAGCAGTTTTGTTTATCAATTTTCTCTGTTCATCAAGATCCTTTTGGATCGCGCGAAGCGCCGCTGTTACCTCCAACATTTCCTGCGTCATTTTGTAGAAGAAAAATTTAAAATGTATTGGCTTTGTTTTGTTTTGGTACAGGTAGTGTCCTCTATTTTCGCTTGCAGGAACTTCTTGCACGAATCGAAGCGATTGGGAAGTATGGTCGGTTACTCGAGTGTAGGTAGTACTATACGAGTACATTAGTATTAAAACGGATAATTCTGAATTCAATGGCTCATTTTGTTATAGGTTATGTTGTCAGCATTTTCACTAAATTATCTTATAACGCAGTTCTAAAGCTAATGCTTATTGATTTCGTTACCACTGTTGTTCCGTTGATGTATAAAGCCTCACAAAACGTCTATAGTTTTAACATTTAAACAAATGGCACTTTCTTTTCAAATGTTGTGATCACTGTTTTTTTGCACTGTTTTACTAGTTTATTGTTTTTGTTTTCACTTTGTCCATACATATTGAGCACTTATTTACGATTTTAACTATTTATTATACTGTAATTTGTGTTATTGAGATTTAAATTGACGATAAAAGCACGGAGCCGATGTTGACAGTGGCACTGCAACGCTACCCTCCTCCTTCTTCAATCAAATTAATCAAATCAAAATCAAGTTATAAGGAGTCGAAAATATCCTACATACCTTTGCCTCAGTATTTTTTAGCTCCCCTTAACGACGATACTGCCGTTAAAGTAAAATATTTTTCCGTGTTAAAAATCTGTTTTAACACAAAAAAATATTTTACGTTAAAGAAATATTTGGATATGGCCGGAAATATCATTCTTCAGGTAGTTCATCGCTAACAATGTCATAATCAGACTTACTAAACTCATTAAACCAGTAGTTAACAGGCTAATTACGAAATATCAAACTAAGCTTATAATAAGTTTGTTGTTTTGTCAAAGACGTGAAAGTTATAATAGGCTTCATCTTGTACGCACGTTTTGAATGGTAGATGGCTTGTTAACATTAGTACCGACACAATTTCGTTTGTGTTACCAATGTACATTGTAAATAAGTTTTAATTATTTTAATACAAAGCGGAAGTAATAAGTCACGTAATACGCAAAGCATTTAATAGAGCTTTAAGTCGTATGCATTCAATTTTAAATGCTCCAATATTATAATATGATAATTATTTAAATAATAGTAATAAATAATTAAAATGAAACTTTAAAACGTGTTCTTAGAGAAACTATATACATATATAGACTATTTATTTTCGTTTCATTTTATTTTTTATAAATATTTTAAAGCCTTATGATACTGTTCATGAAAAACGTATCAAAGCAACTACTTTTGTTACCCATAATAAAAAAAATGTGCATTGCAGGTAGTTTTGCAATCAAATGTTTATATTACATTATAGAGCTTGTGGTATATAAAAATCTTTTGATATTACTAATTGACTTCTTTCGATTAATTTAATTGTCAAAAAAATGGTCTAGGTATTGAAACTAACCGTGGGTATATAACGTCCTGTCAGGACAATATTTGTGTTAAACCTATGTACGTACTATAAGCAAACTACTATGCAATAAAAAGTTACGGTCCTATATTCAAGCGTCATTCGTTTTGTTTTTTAAATGATGAAAACAATAAATAACATTCGATAGAATAACATAGATACCTATTGTGAATATAACAAACACTTACACAAATATGGCATGTCCATATATATCGCCTCCAATTAATATTCTTTACTAGTAATAAGGAAAAAACGGTTGTGTGCCGTGACAATTGTGGAGATCCTAATCAAGTGTATTTTATCGTTCGCGTTCTTTACCTACTGCCTGTCTCACTTTGAACGAGTTATTAGAATTGGCTTACTGGTGCAGAAGAATTAATATGAGTATCTGGATCGTCTTTTCTGTTATAGCTACAGTAGGAGGGGAGTAAATTGACTTTTATTAAGATAGGAATTAGTTATCTTCAAGACTCGCAACATAACGTGATCGAGCAAAGTTACTGAATTGTATCTTGAGATAATCAATGACAATTACCATGTTGCGCTTCAATCTGCGACTGCATAAATGATATTTTGAAATGCTTCACAATAACTAGTACCTATCTGTTGATAATTGCCAGAAAAATAATACATTTTGTTATAGAAAAAACAGTCCAGGACTTACATATTTTAATAAAAAAACAGTGGTACTCCGGGAGTGCCAACCTCAACTTTCGTGTTTGCCAATATATGTAGATACTTACATACAGAGGTGTCGGTAACGGTGTGGCGAGTTCAATGGTTTTTACCTATCTCAAAAAGTACATTATTTTGTTTGTTGTTCAAAAATGCCCAACGCGCCTAAAGAAGTTTTCACTTCTAAAATAGGTTTGGCACTAGAGTACTACCTGACACCTATAACAGACATCGTATAGTAATTATGTGTCTACTTTCTTAATCTAACGGATTGTTTGATATATTGTATAAAATCTAAAAACCACCCATCAAATCCTTGAAAAAAAACTGGTTTTTAAGAACATCATTATAATCTATACCTTCAAACGCTTTTGCAGTCAAAATGTACCGCATAAACTTTACATTGATTTTCAGGTAATCTACATATAATTCGGTAATTTAAAGCGCGCAGATTAGAAACCGTTTCTAGAGTCATTCAAAAGTATATGGGCTCTACGTAAATATTTCACTAAATACCTATCAGTATTTGAGATGATTGGTAGTGAGATGGATCAACAGTTAGTCATTATAATACGTGTGTAAAGTCACACACAATAAATGAAAACTGTTAGCCTTACTGTTTGCTTGATGCTCCTGTGGCTTTTCCACTTCGATGGCAGCGATGAGTGCCGTGGGCATAAGACCTGTAAAAACATACTATTACTAAAATTTTACGAGCTTCAAACTACAATCTATTTAACTCACATAACTCGTATTGAGGTCGAACCCCTTATTTATACGCTAAAGTCGCAAATATGCCTAACACTATTTAAGTGAATAGGTATGCTCTTCAGAGCTGCTTCGCTTATAAATACTAGGTAAGTTTCAAGCCATGTAATCAGTAAAACCTACAAAGTTAAACTACACTAATAAAGATACGCTGGATATGTGTTGATAATAAACTTCAGGCGTATAAACTAGTCACCACTATTATTTGTTTCCATTTACAACGTTTAGACTCGAAGAGTAGTGTGACATGGTTTCTTTATTCGATTGCTTGGATTAAATCACTTGAGAAAAAAATCTTTAGTTTTTCTTTGTTTTATTTGTTTCTCGATTAATGTGTACAAAATAAAAATCCATAGGATTCGTTTACAGCCTCTTATCAGGAAAAGATAATTTACTTCAAGATATGTATATAGAATAAATTAAATACTAAATTATACACAATCAGGTATACAACTTAAATAGGAACACCACTAAAGGACCAAGTGTGTTGCAGTCACCGGTAAAATTGTAATGTCGCAGTTATTACTAACATTTTTCCCAGTGACAATGTGAGAGATATTATCAATTCACATTCACTATTAAATCCATGTGATCCATCCAAATGCGCATAGACACAAACGTGTTGTGTTTCTGTTTTATCGTAATCATCATCACTTTCATCATTACTATCGAACTCATACAATATTACGTTTCACGAGAACTTTATACGGAAATGATTTCTGAATACACTCATAGAGGCAAGCAACATTCAATCTCAACATCAAACATTCAATAGTTAAAGTAATATCTGTGATTGTCACAACTCTAGTTACTCAATTTAAAAAGTGCTCCGTTGGGAATGACTCAAATTCAAATCTTATTATACTACTCAGTAAATAATTATGACTGTAAATAATAGTAGTAAGGAAGTATACTGTATTAGATCTGTAAGTGTACCAGATATCAATCAAGTATATTCATTTTAAAGCTGTCTAATACCGGTGAATGATTTTCTAGAACTAATTTATTTGTATTTGTTTTTGAAATATACAGAGCAGATTCTATGACTGATAGAACGATACAAACCGATAAGACTAAATAAGAAACTATGATAAACAAAAACAAAGTGAATACTTGTCTAATATCTATAACATTATATGAAATTACTAGAAATTTATAAACTAAGAGCGCTGTTATTGAAAGTTTCGATAGTTAAATTATCATCTGTAGTAGCTAAAAAACCTGCCCTATTTTGCCTTATATTACTACTGAAACAAAACCGTTTTGTTTTACAATAAAACTGTATCCGGGCCAGGCAATTAAATTATTTGAAAAACTTAGGAATCCCTAGAATCCCCATAAGAAAGCTTACCTGGGTGATAAATTGTAGTTCTGTTTGCTGTGTAATTAGCGAGGGGCAAACTCAGAACACATACGAACTCTTCGAAGGGATGACTGACGTCATCGTCGTGAACTTCTGCTCTCGTCTCCACCGAGTACATACCCCAAGAGTCCATTCTCATGTCTGTAACGGCTTGCTCTAAAGGCTTCCTAGGAACAGTAAAAACTAAAATTTACACATTCGATGCAAACAAATAAAATGGACAAACAAATGTTTTGCAATAACGACTTTAACTGTTTCACTAAAGAGTTTAATTTCACGTGACGGAGACAAACTTATGACGAAGTGAGGTACGTTTCGTTTAAAACATTATAGTACTATTAATCTATAATGGCGAAAGTTGAGGGTAATGTGTAAGCCGATAATCATTACCGAATGTTTACTTTGCTGAAACTGGTGTTCCGGCTTCCAGCCGATGTCTTGGTTTAAAGACTGCAAGGCATATATATACCCGTACTACACTGATAACATATTATTTTTGATATTTTCATTATATGTGATAGCAGTTAGATTGTTATTTTTTTGCGATTTCTCATCTTCAGACATTATTTTAAGTTATCTCGCAAGTTTAGTCATACTGCAGCCTAACGGATTTCAATAGGATGGATTGACAATGCGGCGTCCACCCGTTGACCAAATGTTGATAACGACTGGACACCGAGCGACGACGTGGTGCTGTTCAGGTATCGGGTGACTCTAATGTGCTATGACCTTAACTCGCCTATTGTCAACCGCCTAGAAAAAACGTGATAAACATAAAAACATAAAACGCTATATCAATTGAATAATGATTTGTAGTTGTATTAACAACGACAAATATTGAATCAGTTAGAACGGAGTTCGTTTCGAAAGTGTAAATACAGATAGTATGTAATAGTTATACAAAGATACTATGACAACACCATACAAAAATGTATTGGTTTTGTTTTAATAGTACAGGTGGGCGAGTAGACGAGTCACCGGATAAGGAACCACCGACCAAGGACAGTTACAACTCAAGAGTCATAAGTTTGTTGCTGCCCTTTAAGTACCCTCCCTCAGAATTAGGGGGAGAGCGTTTGTGCTCCAGTAACCCCAGTCTCTCTCTTGCTTTTCTGTGAGGCCGTGGTCTCACTCCGGTCGAGCCGGTCTATTTGTGGCGCATGCTCAGCCATGGCTTAATAAGCTAATGTTTTACCGGATGCACTTTTTTTGCATCATCAAAAAGCTGTGACAATTTAGCCGACCTTCAAAATGTATTCAAAATCGTCGGGAATTTCACACAACGACACCGTACCATATGACACTGCACGACAAAATGCAGTTTTTTTTGCGGTGTCATTCATCATTGCGTCTGAAAACTGTCTAATTGTTAAAAAGGAAACGGTCAAGTGCGTGTCGAACGACATGTAATAGGTTAAGCGCGTAGGGTTTCCTCGTTTATTACTGCTGCCTTTTTCTTATTCTATGGAATAGGGAGCAATCGAGCAGGCGGGTCACCTTATAGTAAGTGACTATTAGTGCCTTTCCGCGCTATGAGTGCTACCTAATAAATAACACCCAGACTTGGAACAACAATTTGTGAATCACACAAAGTGTCGTGGGTGTGGGGTTTGAACCCACAACACTCGGCGTAGTAGGAAGCGGCGTGGCGACCGCTTAAACCACTACGCCATCCGTGCAGTCTTTGCAGTCTCGTGCAGTTTTGGAACTATAGAACTCTCCAACTCTACATATAAACGGCAATTATGACATCAATAAATTATTTTCGAATTAATTTTAAATTGTATAATTATGTTACTGCATGTCATTAATTACTAAACAGATTAGTCTTGAGATATTAAAATTAAAAGATAAGAAAATTAAACAAAAGGAATTCACAGCAAAAACAAAGAACATTGTGGAAAATAACGAGGCAGCAAACACAATAGAAGGTCGTCTTTAAATTAAAACTGTTAAGGGACCAGACATGGGACTATTGTATCCAATTTGTTAGGGAAGAAAGTAGTCTGTGTGACCTGCGAATAATATAAATCAATTAAGCAGCTAATGTGACTTTACTAGCAGGGAGTACTAATAGTACAAATATAGATCTTGAGAATCAAGATAACCAATAGACAGGGTATACATCAAATTATAATATCAAGATATCAACGGTCAAATATTTTGTGCCCATATGAATCAGAATTTGTTGCAGATGAATCAAAAACAAAAATGAAAAACCTTTTTTAGAATTAAGAGGATAATCGCTGTATTAAGAAGATAATCATATTTTAACAACAACAACAATAATCTGTTTTTATAAACAATTATCAGTGATCATATCCCTTAAAAAATCTGGTGAATGCAACAATAATTCTGTAAAATATTTTTTAAACTACAGTATATAGTAATTCAAGTATTATATGGGAAAGCGAGAATATTGTAATATTACAGAAATTTTAACTATTACTAATATTTGTAATACAAAAAATTCTGTTAGGTACTAGAAAGTGATTATTATAGCTTCGTTATACTAATCTCTCTGTTTAACTATTTTGTGTGTGCAAATCATTAGTCCTGTTTATTTTACTTACTGACTTAATTACTTAGCGTAACGTTTCATGATTAAAAAATCACAGAAGCACAAACTTTGTAATGGTAACTTGGAATGCTATTTTTCACATCATCATTATTAATTAGAATAAACAATCACATTCGTGTATTTATTACTGACAAAAATGAGATCAACTTTAATCAAATGGCATTATTTACATTAATCTGTCTTATTAACTTTCAAAAAAACATACATAATAACTAATACGTTATGGAGAAGAGTTAAGGGAGACTAAGCTGCTTTCAATATCATCCTTAAAGCCTTTACCATTTGACGAGACATTGATTTTTTGGAGAAAGATGGAATAATAATATCTTCACCAATGGCGTGAGACTATTGATTTGGTTTATCATATTGAGGCTTTTGAAACACAAAAATGTCCTCGTCGTCAGAATCTGCGCGATCATGCATACTTTTCTGATGAAGGGTCGATGGGACATCTCTGGAGCAAACTACGCAGGACAACAGCACTGCAAAGAGAAGGAATCTTGACACAAACCCTATACCATCCCATATAGTCAGCATGGTATAGTAAGCCAAAACCTCATTTCTGAGGCCTATGTCCAACACTGGACTGTTATAGGCTGGTGACGATGACGATTACTGTGTAAGTATTACACTAAGGTACTATTTAGATGTTTATAATATGCTTTAAACACTATTCTTCAAATTATTCTTGTCTGGCACTTGCTCCAACAGTAATCAAGCGACTGGTTTTTGAACTGACTGGATCTTATTAGTTATGAGTTTCAAGAATTACATGTCTGTTCCATGTAATTCTTATCTTGATTTACTTGGTATATAATTCATCAAAACCTTGATAAATGATGCCTTAACTCTAAATTCAAATTCAAAATATTTTTATTTCATAATAAATTAAAATTGTTTGAAATCGTCTTTTATGTAGACTCTTAAGTCGTAGATCAACACAAACAGTAGCAACAATCTCTGTTTTGTCAAATAGTAAGGTATTTTTTTATAAAAATTATACTTATACAAAATCTATGATATACCTGTGTCGATCTACAACTGCCCGTTTCCAAGGGGACTTATGAGGGAAACAAACTCATGGCCACTCTTTTCCAATTTACAGATAGATACAATAGATAAATATACCACAACATTGTTCCTATGTGTGCCAGTATGTCCGTTATTAAGGATTAAAAGGTAAAAAGACAATAAAAAGAAAATAAGATTAAGAAAAAAGATCTAATAAAAGAGAAAGTTAAGTGAAACATAAAAAATAGATTTTTTAAATAAAAAGCACGATAGCCCACTGCACATTTCCACTTAAGAAATAGCCTGCGCTAAATTATTCCCAAGCATTTTCGTCTTCTATGTAATTCACAATTGAGATATAGGCTTTCTGACATAATTTACTTTTGATTGTAATAATTTAAATTTGTTAATACTTAAGTCTTGAATATAATTTATACTATAATTTAATATTATACTTATATCACATTTATACTTTAATATCATCTGAACTATTATTAATTGGAAATGCAATCGAACGAAAATTAAAAACAAAACAATGGAATTCGTACCGTACGTAATTTTAATTTTCTATACTAAAAGTTCACTTGATCTCAGCTTTTTGCTTTTTAAAAGTTTAATCTATCAGGAAAGTTTATAGTTATAAAATTTTACACGGCGTCTTCGGGGGATCGAAGAGCGAAAAACTGAGGCACGTAGGAAGAGCACGTCACCTTGAAATTACCCCCGAGCGGGGCGGAGTTTGTCCTCTTTGAGAAGTTCAACCTGCTCTGCAATTTTATAACAACAACAACAAACTACAAATAAGCGCAATGGACAATAAACTTCCTTCAGACATTGTTTAAATCTCCATACTTGTACCAACACATATTATTTATGTTTTAACAACTAAGTATATCATTTTCAGCCAGTATTAAAAATTAACTTTTTGTTGGAGAAACCCATGCGCTATTGTACTCTTGTCCTTGACGTCGTTCAGCTAATCCTCTCGGAATTAAACAGAGAATGGAAGCTACGCTTACGCAAGTAATTATGCTGTGAGATTTATTTGTATACCGTATCTTACAATAAAGTAAAAGATAAAATATAAGTAACATTTTAAGATAATGTAATGGAACCTTTTTTCAAATAATTAACTTGCGAAGAAAGCAAACCACTTATTGATTTATGATTAATAGATAAGCAAGTATCATGCTGCTATCGTTCCCAAACGTATGGTTCGTCCATAGCAGGTATTTATATCTATCTATTTTATATCTATACGATGTCAATGATGAAATATCGTGTCATCACTGATATCACGGTCAAGTAATTTATCATTTATATGCCACTTAATCAATATTTCAATGTAATGTAGTTATCTCTTAAGGGAGAAGGTTTATTTGCCAATAGTAAATTGCAACCTCAACGAATAAAAGAAAGTTAATTTTTTATTTCTAGGGATACATGTAGGCTGCTTTCTTAGTTGGTAATGTGAGCCTTCTAATATAGAAGCTAGTATAAACTCTACCTGTTTTGTACTAAGAAGCCTAAGAGATGTTGTAAACTTGAACCAACTTAGGACTGTTTACTTAACTTTAGTTGAATCCAAACTTAGGTACAGCATTCTGTTTGGAGAGGCAGCTATAACTATAATATCCAGAAAGCGAGAAAAAGAGCCATAGGAACAATGGTTCGTATAGAGCAACCAATATGCAAACAGCAATATTTACATATTGCTGTTAACATATTTGCAGTCTTGTGAACAATTTTTTAGGAGTTTAAAAATTTTAACAGTGCCAAGTCTTTATGGTTTTACATACTCCTTTTTTGATTAATATTTACTCTTATCGGAGAAAGATTATTACGTGAAAGCACAAGAAGGAAAGACATGCTTTCTATGATCGCAACTATTTTGAATGTGAGAATTCAAACATGGTTGGTGTTACAGTGCAGTAAAGTTATTTAATAAATTTTTTTTTGAAAAAAAAAGCACCGTAAGCACAACAAAATTTAAATAAAAACCACACGATGGAGGTTTTTAAAAAATTACACTCCGTAATTATTCTATTATTTTGTTTATTATTGCGATTTATTTTTCAATGTTAGAATTTTATAACAACAAAACAATGTTGATTTAACTATGTTCTTATGTTTAAATTCAACATAATTTATTTCGAAACGAAATAAATTAATGAAATAAAATGAAAAGCTGCTAACACTAAACACTGCTAGTGTGTTTGAATTGTCATGTTCTGTTCTGAAGTTATGTGAAATTACTGCGATATAAGTAGCTTGCATACTTATTCCGAAGTGTTTTTAGCAGAAATAAATTGTTTTGGGGTTTTTTTAAATCTTTGAATTAAGAAATCAGAACATTTTTATATTTTTATATTATACAACAAAAGATATTTCATTACAAAAAGACACCTCTAGCTAACATACGATGGGATAAACATTTTTTAAGAAGATCTTTCATCTCTGTTTCTCAACTTTAAACTTTTTTAACTTACAATAGCTTTCAAAGGATTCCTCCACTTAAGTAGCTACGTACTTTTTATAAACTGATTTTGTTAGAGGAGTTTTATTGTAAAAGAAATCTTTAAAATCCTAGATGGAAATTTTGTTTTTACAAGATGGCTCGGGAATAAGGGGATGTAAGATGTAAATAAGTTCATTTTTTTGTGTTACAAGTTGTTAAAGAGTTCCTACAGGGTTCTGAATTCCCTAGTTGGTTTTTCTTACGATGTTCTTTTATCGTAGAATTCAAGTTTTACGATGTCATAAACAGAGATAAGTACTTATATTTATTTTTATTTTTAATACAAAATACACTTAGAATTAAGCAAAACAAAGTACAGTGATGAGCCTGCGCTTATTTACGAATCAAAGTGAAAAAAAATGTTGATGTCGAAATGCATACCCCTATTTCTTTTTAAACTACCCAAGCTTGTTGAATAGCAAATTTTATCTTCCTGCGTCAACATTAACAAGTGCCGACTGAACTCTGAAGATTTTGAAAATTGCTGTTTCCGTTTTGTAGCTAAATCAATTGAAATATTTAAGTTTTATAAAATATTTATTAAAAGAGGATAAAATTACAGATCAGGCTGGATATTTTCTTTTAAGGGCCTCTTTTTTACAGTCTGGATACAGATTTTTATGCTCCTGTAGACAGCGTAGCAGAACTTAAAGCACCATGTCGCAGCTCTATGTATTCGTGGTTTGGAGAATTTAGACGTGGAAGTGATCACTCGCGACTGCGATTAAAGACTTTAATATTAATACCGTACGACAATTTATCGTTGTTGATAGCAAATTCGTTTTTTTTTTGAAAAAGCAATTTTGTTAGGCATTGGAATGAGCCACGTGCAAAACATTTTACATGTGGATCTGAAGGTTCGCAAGCTTTGATACTCGATGGGTACCGAATGACTTAAGGGAGGACCAGAAACGAATGCGTGTCCAGTGGTGCCGTAAAATGATAAAAAAGTTTAACGGATGACAGTCATTGGCTGTCTATAATATCGTGACAGGTGATGAAACCTGGGTGTACTGCTTTGAACCCGAAAGAAAAAGCCAGTCGGCAGAGTGGGTCTTTCATTTTGAAGATTTGCCAACGAAAGTTAACAAATCTTCAAAAGGAAAGTCAAGTCAAAGAATTGAGAAAAAATGGTTGCTTCTTTTTTTGGCAAATCTGGACATTCCACTACAGTATCGCTTGAAGATCAAAGGATAGTGACCGCAGATAGTCTTAGAAAAAGTTCTCAAAAAGCGTCCTCGAAGCAATGTCCTCCTTCACCACGATAACGCATCCTCCCATCGGTAAGGTAACAGAAGATTATTTGAAGGCTTCAAATATGGAATTGATGACGCATCCGCCTTATAGCCCGGACCTCGCACCCTGCGGCTTCTTTTTGTTTCGTAAAATTAAAGACAAAGTTAGAGGCACACTTTTCACGAGCCCTGAATCGGCGGTGAATGCGTTCCATGAAGCCATTGAAGAGGTCCCTAAAGAAGACTGGTCCAACTGCTTTGTACAGCGGTTTCAGCGAATAAAAAAATGCTTTCATTGCGAGGGAATATACTTTGAAAAACAATAAATGTATCGTAAGTCTTATATCTAGTCTTATTTATCAGAACCCAAAAACTTTTAGTATGCCCTAAGCGTTATCCCTTGCCCTTGCCCTTGTTCATTAACTTCATCATCAAAAAGTGATAAAACGGCATTTTCTTCTGACAAATACTAAAGATGTTTACTGCTCTGAAGCAAGATCGTCCAACCTTGTCTTCAGTGCTATAGTAGCTGTATAAAATGATTGTCTGACCTGTGTTGAATTTGCTATCGCTCCTGCTTTTAATTTAGAAGCTTGACGTTTAGCTATATTCAGCTATAAAAGAGCGAGCATAGATCTTACACGTATTTTGAAGGTATTAACATATCCGATATCCTAACATAACAGTTCTGAATATACTTCAAATTAGAGTGGAGATGATCCCTAAGTAAAGCGGCGTATGTTCGAATAGTAATGTACTTAGAAGTATCTACGTATATTCAGTTTCATCTAAAAATAGAATGTTCAAAGAGTAATTCATTCATTTTACATACTTAAGACTAGCCTCACTTATGTGTAGCGTATACCGAAGTTTGTTATGTAGTATTTATAAGGTGAAAATAAAGCGGTTCTACTTACCCTTTTGACAATATCGTTAACAGAGGTCTTGGATACAAATCTTCGGCTGCACATATCAACGTTACTAAGAAAACATAATGTTTCTCCTGAGTGAAATGAAAATTCTTTCCTGGACCTGTAGAATAAAACCAATTTTATTAATTTCCTATTACTGTGTCTCTCTTTTTATAAACAACTAGCTGGCCCGCCAAACGTTGTTTTGCCATATACATTATTTCAAAAAAAAATTGTCCAAAAAAAATATATTAGGGGTATGAAAAATATATGTTGGCCGATTCTCAGACCCGATATGCAAAATTTCACGAAAATTGGTCAAGCCGTTTCGAAGGAGTTCAACCACGCACACCGTAATACGAGAATTTTAGATTTTGATCTTATAGAAAACGCTGAATTATTTTAAGGAAGGAAACGGTTTTTTATTATTTAGTATAATGTGTTACCATGGTCCCTTAAAATGGTCGTAATATCTTCGTATTGTAATTTTTGTGAACTGTGCCAAATTTCAAAGTGCCATAAATCCATTGTTTTTAATAAACTCTATAGAGTACTTATCTATCGTGCAATATGAAAATTTTAACGAAATCTTTATAACAATACCGTTTACAATTTAAACTAAAGGGTTCTGCAAATATTTCGAAAGCTTCTTGTTAATATTGATTGATATTTGCCTCACTGAATTTAAAACTTAATTAATTTTCCTTTCTCATCATAAAAAAAGCGTTTTATCATAAAATACATAATGTAATAAACAATTAAAAAGGTTAAAAAGGTTTTGGTACAGTAACTATTGTGCTAAAATATGCTCTATGTGTATCTGCTAACTGCGGGAGTTGTCTTTAAAAAAAAAGACAGGAGAATTAGAAGATATATATATATATATATTATATAAACCCCTATAACGTAGTGCTTCTGTATTTAAATTTGCAATTTTTCTAGTTAATACATAGATTTGGTAGAATAAATACTCTACATTTTAAATTCGTTTAAATATTTCTCTAACTGTTATCGGCAGTGTACTTTAAAATAGTTATAATCAAGAATACTGTAAATAACTGATTTATTTAGTGGTAACACGTGCAAATTAGTATGTGCCTGTTTACTGTACGCTTTTACAATTTAGGTTGTAATTAAGTGTACGAGCGCTTAACTTTTTGATACTCCATTACATAGAATTATCCCTAAACAACAGTAGCTATAAAACAGAAGCTCTTTCTTTACATCAAAACTTAGAAAATTCTCTTTTATACCATTCATTACGAAATTAAATTCTAACACTAAAAGTTACCAGATAAGATGTCGAGATTCAAATAAGTCTAACAAAGTTTAATTGCTGTCAAGTTACTGTCAAATAATATTTTCTTAAATGTTTTAAGTAAATTGATGTTGCTTTATTGTGAATATGCTTGTATATTGTGCTTAATTGAGTTAATGGATTAATACTGTAAGTTGAAGAAAGTTGTGTCTTTTAATGCAACTCAAGGCGTCAATCCTGTCCTTAAAGCAATACCGCCTAATTTCGAACAAACCTAGACTGTTTGACCCTTCATTATGGTCTTAAAAAGATCTGAAATAATATACCTTTAATGTGAAATAGTTGAATGTGTTCACATAAAAGATTTAGACGCTTATAAAGGAAATTGATTTCATTTTTTTTTATTGTAGTTATAACATTGTAGTATCTAGTGATTTTATTTATTCACCTTGTTAATTATTCATTATTATACTATATAATTGTATATAATTGTATTTATTTGCCCCAGTATCTTTGAGTAGCTTAATTAGATTTGTCAATTTACTTTAGAAAAATAATATATGTAGAGTCCGATCGCTTTAACTCGAAACATGTTGATAAAGAGATAACGGATCTTCATTTTAAAAAAAAAAGAAGGACATTCATTTGTTACTTCAGAAATCCGTTATTAATGAACCCATACGGATAATTCTTTATTCAAATTTGAAGAAGAAAATCCCATGCCTATGGGTGTAAAATTAAATGAATGTCTCTTAAAAGAAATGTACTGACAAACGTTTTACTTACTATATACCAGCATTGATTTCGTTTGCCGATCTTCTTCTATAAAGGTGGATACCACACACGTGTAGTTGCCGCTCAGGTGTGTACTGGGGCGTAATATCTTAATAGCACGGTAAGCTTGTAGAGGTTCTTCTAAAAAGAAAACCATTAGATCATAGTTTAATTTAAAAAAAAAAGAAACTCTTCGTTCTTTAAAGAATTGATCTTGGTGTTTCCTATGCTCTTAGTACTGAGTACTTTCTGCACCTACTGACTTCTTCACCTATAAGGAAAGTACTCGTAAATAAAAGGATTTTATGTCCTAGAATGTGACTAGGGGTAGTCGATTATTTAAGTCATAAATATAGTCAGGATAATTTGTTATTTTTATATTTTTGTCTGTTATATTTTTGTATGTTGTCTACTAGTGCAAGTGTTTATTTTTGGGACCCGTGCATGATTTTCATTCCATATATTTCTACTGATAGTTTCAAAAGAATTAGGCAAACAATTATTTTGAGAAGGAACTAGTATAATAAATCCATTTCACTCCCTATTACTTAAGAGCCACTTGTAGACAAACGGCGGATGAAAAATGGGCACCGCGATAAAAAATTACTTTACGGATCCTTAGAACATCTAAAAAGTATGCACGGTAAAACTCCCAAGTTTACGAAGCATTAAACTAAATCTGTTAAAAATATAAACTGTACTAGATATCACCTGTTAACATATGTATATTAGCATGACATTAGTTCTGAGCTCTGACAAGAGGATTATTAATGTGGCAAACCAATGCAAGTTGCTTCTAAAATTATCTTGGCCACGTAAATGCAAAAATTATGTGACTGTGTTTCGCTGAAGCACCACTTTAAAGAAATCAAAACCGCTTGTGAATGCATGAGATTAACTGAAAAAGATTCTGCCCGCATTACTTACTCATACTTTTTTTCTCTAATGAAAATGAGAAAAGAAGCTTACTAAATGTCGTCTATTTAAACATTTGCTTGAATACTTTACAAAATGTTACCTAACAATGTAGGGAATTACAAGGAACTTTACGGGACATCTCCCTCGTTACGTTTGCATCAACGTATGTCATTTACAACACGGTAATAGTCACACGATTTCACAATTCAGTTACCTGAGTTATTCCGCATGATAAACACGCATTTTCGCTCAATCGTGTATACACTACATAAAGTTAGACTCTTTTCGTCATATTTACAGCTATTCTGTTTTGGAAAACATCGTGAAGGAACCAAATTGAGATACTTTTTTGAAAAGGAATTAATCGTACTTTTTTTTGGTAGAAGTGGGTTTTCATTGAGAAGTTCATCATCAGGACAGCATTTTCATCATCATCATCAACAGCCTTTTTATAATCTACTGCTGGACATAGGCTTCTTCTTAGAAAAAAGATTTTAGCCTACTATACCATGCTGGCCAGACGGGTCGGTAAAGGGTTTGTTTGTTGTTGATAATTAGAGGTTCTACCTCTTCGTATTCTTAATCCGTTACCTTACGGGCTTTAGACTAGCTAGACTAGTGTATTTTAAAGTTTATTTCCATTGTAATTGTAATGTATCAATTTATAATTTTTACTAAATCAATGATTGCAACTGTTCAAGATTCGTGCCTTGACGATTTTATTAGTTAGAACTCAACGTCAGTTGAACGTACTCACCTCGCTTCTAGTAGAAAGACCTGGCACTAATTAATCAACTAGTGGACTAGTGGGAATTTTTTGGCCCGCACTGAACTCTTCACCAATCGCAACACTGATTGTGTTCACCATAGAGATCGAGTTGATGTAAAATAAAATCGCATTAGACCCCTGATACCACAAACCAACAACTGACATTTGCCGCATTATTTGTTATATGTTGTCTTCTTCTAACTTTACGCATATATCATAATAACTGCTCATGATTTGCAAGAATATTCTTTATTTAGAATGTGTTAAAAACTGATAAGCTAATGTTTTCTACAAATGAATTTTGCAAACCCACTCGATAGTCGATCAGCGCTCATAAGCAATCGCAACTCACAACATTGGTAGAGCCTGTCCATTCCTAGGGCTCATTAGTCATCACATGAAAACCGCTACAAAAACCTTTGTACACTAATTAAATATAATAATTGAAATATCGAATCAGACTCGACTGTTCCTCCAAGTCTGGTTTAGATTAAAACATTTGAACCCCAATACAGTACTTGAATACGTAACAGACTTTTTTTTGGTGTTTATATAATTGTCTGTATTTATTTAATTCAGATATCTCTAAAACTTGAAATCACATCTATATCGTGCCTTTACACCACAAAATTATAAAAGAACTAGATGAACGCACGAAAAAACTAGCAACATCAATAATATTATAAGCGTGCATTCTCAGTTTATAACCTTATATTTTTTTCAAAGACCATCACTTCAATTTTATCAAATGAGAATCTAAAAAAGCATTGTCTTACCTGAAATTTTAAAGGTCATATCGACTTTTCCTTTTAAAAGTCCTATCACCTGGGGTTGTCTTGGTGGAATCCACTGATACACCAATCCCGTAGACCCGTTAAAGAACCACTTGATTACAAGGCCAGGTCCTGGTTTCACGCCTGTGCTGTAGTTGCAGTCAAGAATGACAGAGTCTGTGCCTAATTCTACTAGAGGGGGTACTTCTATACGATTTATATTGACGGCTATACATTCTGTAAAAAAAAATACACATGTTTAGACACAGAACTTATTCAGTTTCAAAATTAAAAAAATACATCTTCAGAATAAGAACATATAAATATGTTAGAATCGTATGAATAATAGTACCATTAAAAGAGAAAATAAACAACAACAGTTTTTATATATGTTATGCTAATTTACAAATATGTCTAAAAATTAGTGAGTGCCTTGATCTATCTTCATATCCTACTCACCTACCTACTTACTGATAGAAGTGTTCGATGCGTTATGGTCTTGTATATATAGTTTACTATGAAACTTAACCTTAAAAATCGTACAGCTCTTTAAATCGGTTATAAACATAAAATGCACCTTTTCTAATATAGGTGTTGAACACCTGGTAAGGTAAGAAAGTGTCGTCCAACGTACTAAACATCTCGTGTGAGTACTCGTACTATCATTATATTACCCCACATAAGCTTTTACAGAGAGTTTTACAGTAAGACTTTAGTACTGCTGTTACGTTTTATTAAAATTTACAGAAACATATAAACATTATTCAATTAGCCGTAAAACGGTACAAGTTTCTAATAATACGTTGTAATATATTGGTTTAACGAAGTTTACGTTTTTACCTGGGATTCACATGTCACCTGTAAACGGTAAGGCCATTAGCAAATCACTTCCGTTAACCATAGGAGGACGTTGGTCAAGGCTAATAGGGTGTATCAGCGTCGGGTCCTCAGTGCAGTCACCGAAGTCACCGACGATTTCTCGCTACCGACTATCATACGATCCACGACCTTTTCTTTTGTTGACGGAGTGGAAAATCCCTTCGGATCTCCTGCTCCTCGGGGACTCGGGATTCCACTAAAAACCACCCGACGGCCGGCCTCATCAGGCCCTATCTTAGGGTAAAACACTTCCCCCCTTAATCGCAGCATATCGGTCCGATTGCTTTTTAATCAGGCTGCACTTGTATCCCCTACCGCAGCAATCAAACTGCCACCAGAGGTCCCCACTCTCTGGCGGCCCGTGTCGCCGCCGATGTCCTCTACGGTCCATGGCCAAGTAGCGACAGATGTTCTACCGCGGTCACATTCTTCTGCGAGGACGTCATTTCGCAAAAGGAGGTGGCGGATAGGTCCCGGGAGGAAAGTCCAGCGAACCGCATGTGATAGGCACGTTCGAGGATGAGTTAATAAAGGATGAAAAAGGATATCTTAATAAAAACTGTTACCGCATCCTTCCTATTCAAGACACAGTATGACACACCGTCTAGCTTGCGTCGATTTGATTTCGCAAACCGCCAATGTCTTAATAAATTACATGAAAAGTAAACTTACATTTTACAGTTTATTAAACTTCTAAAACCTCCTCTTATTCGTTACGATTTTACACCTTAACTCTTGAATTCGCATACACGTTTTAGCGTTACAGAAAATCACAGAAATATAAACAGAAAATAAATTCCTTTTCTCGAAGAATAGATTGACGAAGTCTACACCTATATGAGCGAATAATAGCTAGTGATATTACAAACGAGTAATTGTTCCCCAAAATTAAGACAAAGAGGGTGTCTTCGATAGTTGGCTATAAACAATGTTAATAACAACAGCTAAGTTAAAGTTAAGGCCTATATAATTTGACACTGCGGTCAACAGGCAAAGACGAAAATGTTTTGTTCATGTTCATTGATTTGGGGAATAGTGAATCATCAATCCTCTATAATTTTCACAAGCGATTGTGCCAGATATAGATTTTTGTTTTCTAAAGATGCTAAGACAAAATAAGGTATATACCACTTTCATATTAAAGATTATCACGACTTAATCTAGTTTAATTTAACCCCATGAAGACATATGTCTTTGCGTTTAGAGTCGACAATATACCATTGGTTTGAGGGTACTTCCCCAACTGCCACAGATAGCATTGGAACTGATCAAGACAGTATTGCTCGGCTCAATGCTTGCAAACTTTATAAGGCGCAAGTTTGGGCGCATTTGGAATACTGTTCTCATCGCTTTGGAGAGTCGCCCCAGTACTAGCTTCTCCTTCACGATCGCATTCAGCGGAGAGTGACTCGAATCGTCAAATGCGAGAATATTGCCAACCCTAAAGGTTCTAAGAGAGACACTTCTTAAAGTTTTAAAATAATTTTAAATTTTACACATACATTTATAATATTCGACGTTTGATTGTTGTTCAGCAATCCAACTGATCACCGTTTTTCCATGCACCCAAACCTGACCGGGAATATAAATATATATTTCGTTTCAAAATTATTTAAAAATATCTTCGTCATGACATCTTGGGATGTCATGGAGCCTTTAATTTATTTCTTTTAACGGTGACAAAACAAATCTCGGGATCATTTCTAGACGATAATTCTTGCTCTAATACACAGTTTATTTAGCAGACACAATAAAGTACAACTATACAAATAAATGTCTAAGGCACTTGACGCTGTGCCGTCAGCGTAGTGAGCTCGAAGCCTCTGCGCTATCCGCAGCGTCTGGTCAGCACTGTGATTGTGAAAAATGTTCATTTCAGTGACACGGCTTAATGTTGTCGATTTCAAACTATGATAGTATTCCAAACAATGAAAGTTTTCTTTACATAGTAGGTGCTAACGGTAGGTGATAAACATTTTTTAGTTCTACTATCACATTTTGGTTTTCAACTAGTCTTCCACAAAATCCTCTCATTATAAAAGCATTCCTTTCTTACAGTTTATGATCAGAAAGGTTATATATACCGTACCACAAAAAAAAAGGTTAGAATGAGAACTTGATTTTCTTTCAGGCAATTTTTATGACTGCTGACATGACGCGTTGACGTAATTTATTTTTCATTTATTTTTAAAAGCATGCTCTGTCCTTAGATTAATTGTGCGTTTATTTTCAGATCTAATACTACTCGTACACAGTTCAAAAAAGAGCTTGAGGCTACTAAAACGATGTAACAGTCCTTTTCACTCGATGAAGGTCAATTAACGATATCAAAGACGAGACTTTTTGTTTAAAATTGAAACAATACTGTATGTACATTGTTGAACTTTCATACAATGTATATGCTATGAAAGATCATGTAAGTAATAAGCATGTACTAGCAATTAAAGTATCTACTACATCTATATAAGTAAAAATATTTCGCCAAAATATATGCATAGCTTCCGAACGACTGCACCAAATTGGATTGCGTTTATTATTGTCAGGATAAGGTTTTTATGACAGAAAATTTTAAAAAATGTTCAGATATCGTTTTTAAATCTCATAATATGCAAAAAGAGTTTGTGAATGAGACAGAAGACTGGGATCTATACTAATCTCAGAAACTACGTGCTCTAATCGAAAAATTATTTTAGTATTAGATAGCCCTTTATCGAGGAAGGATAAAGGCTATAACGTTATGCTACTATTAAAAAGAGCTGAGTATCAATAAGAAATGTTGCGAAAACGGGGGAAATTTATGCCTTTCAGGAGAAGCAGACAAAGTTTCGTGGGTCAGCTAGTTTTTCATAAAATTTGTGTATATATCTGAGGACAATATGCAACGTGCACCTGTTACTAAATTTAATTTCCAGTCTCTTAAAACCTTTGACTAGAAAACTAGATTTAGTTAAAATCTATGGTAGTTGTAGGACACTGGCAAGTTTTTTCAAAGAAATGCGAAAGTTACATATAAATATATAAAGCAATATGTATATACTGCTTTAAATCATTAAGGATTTCATTTCCATTTATTTCTAACCTAAACGCAACACCCGATTTTATATTTCTCTTGCAATTAAAGATGCAGAAAGACAAGAAAAGCCTCCTACACAAAAATGATGTTGAAATATTCAAAGCATTTTTTATAGCTTTGCCCCAAGGAGTCATGTTGTGTTAGAAGTATTTTTCACTTACATATTTTAAGACACTCCATAGAGTTTTGTATTTTAGAAATATATGTAACATTTAAAGGGAGCTTTAAATTACTTCCTGTTATGTCGTAAATTTTAAAGTTATTGATCTATATTATAAATTATTACTAGAAAGTTCCCTTTTAAACAGTGATCTATTTATATTATGTGTACTAGCATTCATAATATTGTTACAAGCGGGGTATACAATAAAAAAAGTAGTCGGTAATTACTTTTATTGCACTGTATTTACAAACACTCACTATTACAATATTACAAACACGAAATCACTATATAACTCGTTAGTCGCACTAGAAACGCGCTTTGATGTTAATTCGCTATGTCGTAAAATGATACTGTCCCGTACAGCCAACACGCTCCGCTTTTATAGTGCTATGGAAATTACTAGACTAATCCCGAAGATGTGATGGAGTGTTCCAGACAAAACCACGCACAATAAGGCATCTATAAATTTCTATAATCTTCCGATATTCGACACTAGATGGCACTGCAAGTAAGTATCGGAATTAAGAACCATAATCTCAGTGCGTAGCGTTGTGTCCCACTTGATACTATCTATACATGCAACACTTTACAAGTCCACTCAATCATAGTGCACAAAAATATTTTTTAAATGAGAATGTTGAACATGCATTGATCAGCATAACTGTGATTTCAAGATATTTTATACAAATGTCAAGAATTTCATTTTTATTAATAACTAGCTTTACCCTACCACGCTTCACTGTTTTACATTGTTTTTGCATTGATGAGAAATTAGTAACAAAAGTGACGCAAGAAATAGATGAGAACAATCCTTGAAGTAGATTGAATTTCGTGTCAAAACTTGAGCTCAATTGGTGCAGAACTTTTTGAGTTTTTTACTTTGAACTTAACATTCTTAGGGTTCCGTAGCCAAAATGACAAAAACTGAACCCTTATAGTTTCGTCATGCGCGTCCGTCCGTCTGTCCACACTATATCTCACAGACTAGAAACCTGTAATTTCGCATGAACATACCTACTTATCACGCCGACAAAGTGGTATAATAAAAACTTGATGAATATTTTTTAACTGTAGTACTTTCAATTTTTTTTATATTCATTCATCCCATGATGTGGAGTGTCATTAGATGGATCTGATAATAATAGCATCATTAAAAAACCCCGACCCAAAAAAACTTTATTATAAAACAACAACTGCTCATTGAGACTGTTCTATAAGCCTAAACATAGTATACATGCTGTCATTTTCTGAGGAGTTAGCTATCCCGCAGACTACTTGATGCAGCTGCAAGTTCCAGGTTACCATATCGTGGAAATACCATCAAAGTAACAGTATACCAAATTTCAGATCAATCGGACCTGTGGATTTTAGTGAGATCCTCTTATCTTCTAGGAAGTGATTTAATGATCTTCAAAATGTATAGCTAAAAACCATCTTGATCACATTGGCTTTCAAACAAAAAAAGCCGCCTTTGAAATTGATCCATCCGTTCGGGAGCTATGATGCCACAGAGATATACAGATACA